CTCAGGGGCAGTGAGAGGCTTCACCAGAGACAGAGTGGGGAACAGAACAGGCAGATTGACGAAGTGCACTGCTGAGGGGAGCAGTGGGTGGGTCAGCAGAGGTCTGCTGCGCCATGTGGGTCACCTCCAGGGCAGGCGGGGATCGAACTCATGCGGGAGTGGCTTAAGCTTCTTTGTGCTGTGCTTTAACCCGCTGCGCCACCAGGAAGGGCCAAGTTCTTCAATTTTTATTTTATATATTTCCCCTACTCAGTTCCATAATCATCTCTAAAAGCAATCTATTTATACTCATCCTGATAAAAATGTTTTTCTGGATCTGCCGTCCTCTTATTTACATGACTGTATTCTTCCTCTGGCTTATTTCACTTAGCATGGTTGTTGTCTCTTTTTTTGAACAACTGTGTAGTATTCCAGTGAATGTATAGGCCACATCTTCTTTATCCAGCTATAAATATCACCTCACACTGTGAGAATGGCTTATGTCAAAAAGACTAGACACAGTATGTGCTAGAGAGAGTGTGACAAAGAAAGACTTCTCCTTTACTTATGGCGGGAGTGTCAGGTGGTGCAACCTCTTTGGAAAATTGTATAGAGATTCTTTAAAAGCACCATGGAAAGGCCCTATAACCCAGCGACCCCTTTCCAGGGACGATATCTAATATGACAATTCTAACTTGAAAAGATTTGTGGACCTCTGTTCATTATTCACAACGACTAAGATGTGGAAATGCTTCATAAATTACAGATTAAGTTTATTATTTATCCTACTCAGCTAGCAAGCAAGTTCTAGCAACTCATTCTTCATCCAAGAAAGAACAAGAAGTATCTGTTAAGAAGAAATCTGCCTCAGGAAGTCAGAAATCCTACAAGGGCCGGCCTGGAAGTGCAATAGCAGACATCAGTATGTCTGTTATGGATGAGGAGTCTGTCAGTCTGTCTACCACCGAAGAGACTGTGAGCACCCCACAGCAGGTACGCCTCATTAGGGATAACTATGGCACTGAGCAACTCCTAAAAAATTTATGCAATATGAAACAATAGTAATGGTAATACTGTTTCGACTACTATTCATTAGTAGTAGTACTAGCAGAACTAATGAATGGTAAAGCTGAAATCATAATGTCTTCTCTTTCAAACATGACTTGGGACAGTCTGGACTTAGGAGGTTATACAACAGGCTTTCTAGGAGTGATTTGTTCTAGAAAACAGAAAAGCTAGCAGTAATAACTTTCTAGTCCAATTTTATGAGTAATGTAATTCTGACACCCCAACTGAGAATAACAGAAGTTAAAAAAAAAAAAGGTTTATTTATAAACCTGAATACCTGAATGCAAAAGTTATAAATGCTAATGTATTGGCAGGGATGTGAGGATAAACTTTTATTGATGTGGTATTACACAATTTCTGAAAACATATGGCAGTATTTAATTAAATTATGAATGCGTAACATAGAGAAATGCATGCTTTTATTATGTACCTGACATATAAAGTATGAGGGTCTCATATTTGTTCTTCAACATTGCATTTTTACTTCACAGGTGTCCAAGTATATTATACAATGTATGGTGTTATATGACAGTTGGCCTCTCACTGAAAGTCAAATGACATTTGTTCAGGCACTGAAGGACTTAGAGAAAAATGACACCAAAGGTATGTCACTATAAATGTTATTTGTGATTTTTATATTTTATATAATGTTTAATAAAATTATAAGACAGTACTACTTATAATTTACCTCTTCTATAGCATTTCACATTTTTTAACTAATAATGCGTTTCAGTATTTTTACTGTTAGTTCATAAAAGCCAAACATAATTATTTAGATTAGTTTCCATCCATTTTGTCTTGGTAAAAATCTTTGATCATTATATTAGAAATGTACAAGGAATTGTCTCTAGATATAAATATATATTTTCTAAGCTGTTTCAAAAGTATATGGTAGAAGATAAATTGTTACAATATTTAAAAGAGATAGAATCTGTCCAAGAAGGACAATTCAGGTTTATTTATTCAAAATGTAAACTGCTCTTAATATTCCTGAGTGGCAAGTGACAGTTTGGTGATTTATAAAAAGTGTAATCTCAAATCACCTCTACCCATTATCTTAATATCACTTTGTGCAATGTAACAACTGACACTGAAGGATAAGCATTTTCAATATATTTTCTTTAGAAAAAATTAAGCCATATTATCTAATCATAAAGGATTATGTATATATTATTTTAAAAATGAAATGTTACCAGACATTACAAGAAAGATACAATGAAACACCAAAAACTGGTGAGGATATGAGGAAACAGAAGCCCAAATCTTAAAATGTAAGAACTGAAATTTATTTGTACAAATTCAGATATTAAATTAAATTTATATTTGTACAAATTAAGATATTTCTGTTGTAAAGTTTGAGGAGGCTTTGTCTCTGTTTAAAATGAGGCAACAGTGCCACCTTTAGTATGACTCAGTACCTCAGTTTTAGCAAATATTGCTTACTAAGAACCTGACTTTCACTTAAGGAAACAGAACAAGAGGATTGTAACCTGGTAATCCCTAGTGATAGCAACTGTCTTCATAAAGAATTAGCAGTGGTGTGATTTTGCATCTTCTTGCCAAAAGGATGCATTCTCATGTTACTGATCTGCACCTTTGAAATTCTTATCTGTTTGCAAATCCACACATAAACTTTACTATTGTTTGCAAAATATTTGGTTTCAAGTCCCATCCAAATTTTATTGGCAGGATTACCAAACTGTCCTTTAGTTGTAATTATATTATGTTTAGAATATAATATTCCATCAAAGAATGTAACAAGTTTTACAATATATAAAGTTAGTAAGAATTCAAAAGATATAAAGATATAAAAGATAAAAAGATATAAACTGATAGAATTGAGCACAGAAATAGACATTTCAACAATGATGGCTCAAAATCCAATTGTAATAATGGATACATATAACCAAGTGGAAATCAGTAAGGAACTATAGACAATTTGAACAACACTACAACCAGTTTTACCTCACAGATACCTTGAGAGCAGTCTGTTCAATGACAGCAAAATAAACATTTTTCTCAAGCGAACTTGGAACATTCTGCAGGATAAACCCTGTCTACAACAGTAACACAAGCCTATAGAAACAACAAAGAATGGAAATCATGTTAAGTATGATTTCTCTGATCACAACAGAAAGAAAATAGAAATTAACAACAAATCTGGGAAATTCACAACTATATGAAAATTGACACACTTTTAACCTATGTATCAAAGAACAAATCACAAGAGAAATTAAGACATTCTTAAATGACAAAGCACAGCATAGCAAAGTTTATGAGATATTATGAGTAGAGTACTATGAAGGAGATTTATCATTATAATCCTTGCTTTTAAAAAAGATTTCAAGGACCCTCCCCTTGGCGCAGCGGGTTAAAGCACATCACTGAGAATCTAAAGCCGCATGAGTTCGATTCCCGCCTGCCCCGAGGAGATCCACATGGCGTGGCAGACCTCTCCTGACCCGCCCACTGCTCCCCTCAGCAGTGTACTTCGTTGATCTGCCTATTCTGCTCCCCACTCTGTCTCTGGTGAAGCCTCTCACCACCCCTGAGCCTCTGGCCTCTGGCCTGTACCCCAGTTCTGTATGCACAAATAAATAAATCTTAAAAAAAAAGGATTTAAAATTAGTAACTTAAACTTCAAAACTCAAAAACCGTAAGACTCAAAAACCGCAAGGAAGGATAAACTAAACCCAGAGGAGGAAGAAGCACGAGAATAAAAAAATGTCAAAACAAATCAATCATTTCAATATTGTATTATATAAGATGATGGTATATGAATTATCACACCTCTCCTTATAAAATATCTTTTTTTTTTCCTGAAAAAAGAAACTCAAACCGTGTCTAGTTTCTCTTGGTCTGTTAATACATAAATTATTATATGGCTATATCATGACTCACGGATTTATTGGTGTCCTATACTGTTGTCTCTCTAGCTCATGCAGAGAAACATGAAGAATTAATTACCTTTGGAAGTCCAGATACCCATGTCACTAATGAGGGACAAAAATCCTCAGGAACTTCCAAATCGACAAGGAAAGGTAAAGAAAAGTCTTCTGAAAAGGAAAAGATAGCCAAAGAAAAACAAGCACCTCGTTTTGAGCCTCAGGTGGGTGTAGTACTTTTCTTTTTTATTAAAGTTACTTATTAAATTTAGGTTCATTAGTCCTCCATGCACTCAGCTTTCCAGGGTACAGAATTGTGAAAAATTCCATCATCCTCATAACAGCAGCGGCATAGATACCGTTAGGACTTTCCTTGAACCTGCTGCAGTCTCCTTTCCATAGTTCAGAATCAAAAGATAAAAATGTTACTTAAAACTTCAGTACATAAGACACTATTATTGTCAGATGGATTTCTAAAATTAGTATCACCCAGTCTTAAACTTCAGGAACCCATATTCTAATGGAGTACATAAATCTGAACAGTTTTATTTTTTAAGATTTATTTTCTATGCATACAAGAACTGGAGTACAGGCCAGAGGTGTTGGGGAGAGGGGAGGATGAGAGGACTCACCAGAGACAGAGTGGGGAGCAGAACAAGTAGATAGACTGAAATACAGTGCTGTGGGGAGCAGTGGTGAGACAGGACAGGTCTGCTGTACCATGTTGGTCAGCAACCTGCCCGGGGATCGAACTCATGTTGCAGTGACTGTGGATTGCTTCACAGTGCTGTGCTTTTTAATTCACTGTACCACCAGACAGGGCCCAATGTGAACAGTTTTAATGTTAGATATTGTATGTGCAATGGTAGTGGAATGGAGACCTACTCCAATCTCTTTCTAGCAGGGGCCAAATCCTGAAATGTTAATGGGCAAAGACATCTAAAGCAAAAAAAAAAAAAAATACTTTTTTTCCTTTTTTTTTTTTGGTAAGCATGAAAATAGCAGTGGTAGGGCTGGAGTGGCACAGTACAGAGAGAAAGACCTAGAAGTCTCATTAAAGATTTTATCTACTGCCCTGAGGTCATGACTCTCAGTTGCCTCCAGCTCAGTAGTCACAATGATTTGATAGAAGCTGGAGGGTTATTAGTGCAAGCACAGGCCTAAAGATATTCAAATTCAAGTTATGTAAAAACACAGAACTCAAAACAAAGGTCTGAAGAGGACAGAAGCTCCCCAGCATTAGTGATCACTGCTGGAGAGGCAGGGCAGGGAGGTTAAGACACCTAATGACATGATCACATTTACAACTTAGGTTCTCTAGTGGCGTTTTGAGGATAGTAATTCAAAGAGGAAAAATACGGGATAAGGGGGAATAGTTCAGTACTGCTTCCTCCAGGCAAAAAACTATAAGGTGTGCCCAGAACCAGTCAAAACAGAGGAAGAAGACGTGTAATGAGCTACCTGGAAAACACAGAGCATATAGTTAGTACACCAAGGTGGGTGGTAAAGAGCAAAGTATAAGCTCCAGATTTCCAGCTGAATTGACAGTATAGGATTCTGCACCACTCAAGGAATAGACAATAAAGGAAAATTAGCTGGTTAGGAGAAGAGAGGATAATCATTTGTCTGGTAATGAAAAGCACATGCTCATTTGTATTTTCGAGATTTAATTTCTTAGCTGGAGTCTACCCTGGGAAACTCTGTGATGTAAACTAGTTGGAGCTGACTTCTGCCCTGGGGCTGGGGGGCGTCACTGAGAACCGGCCCGGGCTGCTGCTCTTCTATTTATGTCGGAAGTTCCGCTGATTTTGACCATGTCAAAACCAGGGCCAGGAGAGCTTCTAGCACTGCAGAAGCGCTTGAAGCCCATAAAGCAAGAGTTTTTTGCAGGTAGCAAAGCAGCAGCTTGCTGCTGTTCTTGTGCTCACCGAGACACTATCAGAGACAATGGCACCTTCATGTTGGGACTTGGCAACCTCGCACTTGTGCAGGGGACTTCCACATGTGAACAGCCCTATGCTCCATTTTAAGTGTTCTCCAAGTTCTGTTTCAAAGGCTGTTTTTGTCAACTGGAGAAAATTATTTCAAGCTCAGCTCATTTTAAGTCATGTTCTCCAGTATCTTTTAAAAAGCATCAATCGAGAATAAGATGGCTAAGACAGAAAAGTATTAAACCATCCAACATCTGAATACTTTCAAGAGTTTTCCAGAAAAGGGAAATCACAGTGTACAAATGAAAGTGAAGGTAAACAAAATCCTTTCCATTACATAATCACATAACTACATGCCACAAAATTCAGAGTGTCGTTCTGTTAGGGTACTGAAATACCCCCAAACTTTGCACTCTCTAAATAGGTTCAGCCATCTGCTGCATAAAAGAAAATATACTTGTAGTGTGTAAGCCCGTGAATAGAAAATCATTTCAGTGGAATCAGTGTGCATAGCAAGCCATGCTTGCTGCTTAGTCTTGGACTTACACCTGACACTTGGGGGACATAGGTGACATTTGGGTGAGACAGAGACAAAGGTGAGAGACACATGAGGGTGTTGATGATGTCAGCCTTTATCCTGGCTTGTACTTTTATTTTGTTCTTTTCCTTTCAGGTTTGCCTGGCTTTTCCTGCCCTTTTCTCATGTTTTCCTGCTAAAAGATTACTTAGACTTGTGACAAGCTTTTGGGCCTCAGGGGTCCCACTGTGGGCCAAACCTTGTTTGGCTGGACATTCACCCACAAGGACATGGGTGACTGGGAATTTTATTAAGAAATTTTTATCCTTTCTTTGCTGTCTCTTTATGCTTTGCACACTAATTGTGTTAAAATTGCTTTCTATTGAAGGTCTCGTGCACTAGTGTGTTTTGTTTTTATGCAGCAGATGGCAGAATCTATTTAGAGCAGGCAGGTTCAGGGGCTCCTCATTCTGCCTGCAAACATTAGGTTGTTAATATTCCAAAAAATGTATTAATGTATGTCAAAAAAAGAAACTGAAATGATCAAATTATATATTGTGTTTTAACTTTAATCATAATAATCATGTTGAATTTAATTTATTATCGATTCACTTTCTCATGGAAAAACTAACTTTTTCTTAAATCCCAAAACTGCCCCATACTCTGTTAATCATCCAAACAGATACAGAATCTTTTAACGAAAAGAAGCAATAGTTACTCACTTCCAGGTCTGTGCATACTTGATATTGACTCACTAGGAAAATCAGCAACATTTCTGTGTCCCAAAGGATCACTTTCATGAACCATAGGTTGAGAGTAGATGGACATATGGCTTGAAAATGTCCAGATAATTGAGGCTTACTGATGGCAACTGGTAGAGAGAACAGCTTGCATTTGGGGTGTTCCTAGCACTCTACATAAAATTTAGACAAAAGTCAATTGCCAGGCTCTCATAGTGCAGGTGGAAAAATAGGGATGCAGTTTGGCTTTAATGTTACCAATTGTGAAGCGTTCCCGTCAGTGAAAATAAGTATAATTAAGATTTCTGGTTGTTATTTACATTTTTGAGGTAATATTTGTCCACAATAAAATGTAACAATCTTAAATGTACAATTTATTGAGTTTTGAAACATGCATTCACCATGAAATCCATGCCTCTGGGAAGGTAGAAATTGCAGTCTCTTTCCATTTACTCTTGGCTTTGGGTCCAATCCTCTCCTCACTTTAACCCCAGGCTATAGTTTGGCTGTTCTGGAATGTCGTATGAATGAATCATACAAGATGATGTCTTTTGTGCTCAGCTTATCTTCTCAGTATAATGCCTGCCTGTCAGAGAAAACTGAGCTACTAATTTATTACTTTTTAATGTTAACCAATATTCCATCATATTAATATGTCACAATATGTCTGTCCATTCATCAGCTGGTAGACATTTATATTGTTTCCTTCTTTGGCTACTATGAATAGAAGATTGCTCAAACCTTTTGTGGATGTAGGTTCTTGCTTCACTTGAATAAATACTTAAAAAGTAAAATGATGAACTATAGGATAAATCTAGACCATTTTGAAAAGGAAAAATGCATCTGGAACAAAGGATTTGATTTTGTTTTCTCAGATATCCACCATTCACTCTCAACAAGAAGACCCAAATAAACCCTACTGGGTTCTGAGGCTGGTCACAGAACACAGCGAAGCAGAGTTTTTTGAAGTGAAAAAAGATACAGAGCGAGCAGATGAAATCCGCGCCATGAAGCAGGCCTGGGAGATGGCTGAGCCGGGACGGTCCATTAAGGTGACCTTGGCTTGCAAAGTCATCCTTTTAACTTTTTTATAAAGATTTATTTATTTATGCATACAGAACTGGGGTACAAGCCAGAGGTTCATGAATGGGGAGAGAATTTACCAGAGACAGAGTGGAGAGCAGAACAGGCCGACTGACAAAGTACACTGCTGAGGGGAGCAGCGGGCAGGTCGGGAGAGGTCTGCTGCGCCACGTGGGTCACCTCCGGGGCCGGGGATGGAACTCATGCTGAAGTGGCTTTAGCTTCTTAGTGCTGTGCTTTAATTCACTGCACCACCAGGGAGGGCCAGTCCCTTTAATCTCTAAACTTAGTCTAGAGGAAGAGCCATACTGGAGAAACTACACGGTCTTTCCTATTGGAAAGATCTCTAAAATTCTGTGAAACATGGACCACCTGAACACTAACACCATGCCTAGACACCTTGTGAGACATTATCCTCTTGTCACCAGACGACCTGCAAAGCCAAGCCTGTAATCATGTCACTGTCGAAGCAACTGTGGGTGTCACTGTGTCTGTAGCCATATCTGTCCCTGATGTTCTTAAGTAAGGAAGTGTACAGAAGCTCAGTGTGTGCTTTCACAACCTTAGGTACGAAGCTGGTGCTTTGTCTGTGCCCTTGTGGGACACACATACCTCCTACCTCCCCAAGCCCCATGGTCTATAGAAGCATCACTAGCGGAGTGAATATTTTTGCATGCACTTCATGTTCCATTTCAAGGCTTGTGAGGCAGATGAGAAGTTTCAGGAGTTACTGGCTTAGCCTGCCCAGGGAATTAGTTTTTAGACAGCTCCTTCATCATTTCTCACAAATAATTGACATAATCACGGAGGATTCAGAATTTGAATTTATGTGATTATTAATAAGAGCCACGCTGATTCAAACTGCCTTCCACATTCCCATGTCCCTGTTTCTTTTGAGTGTGAGCTGCTCTCATTTCCATGGTTTGCTGACTATATTATTCTTCAGGCTTCACAGGCTCGACTGCGTTATGTCACCCGGTACCTGAAGAAACTACCTGATACTGAAAAGGCCTCTGTGTCAGAAAGCCAGTCAAAGCCTCAGGAGGAAGGTCAGTGAGCACTGTGCCCAGCACCCAGAACACAGAACTATAAAAGACAGCAAGTTATGTGATGAAAAGAAAACATTTTAAACCCTATTGCTTCAAGCACTGTAAATAGTTTCATAGGAAATAGAAAAACACATTGGAAATAGAAAAACACATTGGCTTCCACTGTTGTTGGTATCTGGGAAGTGTAGAAGCTGCCTCAGATATTGCCACGGGTGCAGCCACCAGCAAATCACCTACAGTCCACACACATCTGAGACGAGACGCTTTTCTCTTTACCAAGTTTATGTGTTCTTTGTCCCCCATGTAGATGTCTTTTTCCCCATTTAAGAAAAGATGAACCAGAAATCAGGGCACAATCTGAGTAGAAGTTTGTAGTATATGAAGTTGACAGTTTTCCAATAAAAGCAAATGATAGCACTAATAGCTACAATAACAGTAAAACTAACTGCATTAAGTTATTGCCTTGGGCCTAGAACTGTAAAATACTTATTTCATTTTCTACTTACATCAACTCACTGACAGAAAATATTATTCCAACCTACTAATAAGGATTCAGGCCCTCTCCTAGTGGTGCAGGGTTTAAAGACAAAGCACTATCAAGCTATCACCAGCCACTGCATCATAAGTTCGATCCCAGCCAGGGAGGTGACCCACATGATACAGCAGACCTTTTTCTGTCTTGCCCACTGCTCCCCTTACTGGGACTCCTCAATAGATCTGTCTGCTCTGCTCCCCACTTTGTGTCTGGCAAATCCTCTCACTCCCACAACTCTGGCCTGCACCCCAGATCTTGTATGCATAAACAAATAAATCTAAAAATAAATAAATAAGGATACAGGCCCAGAGTAATCTGCTGAGACATCCAGTGTCTTCTCATAAACATCTCACTGCTTCTGCACATTACCACATGGGGCTGTGACTGTGGAGGCCAAAGATATTCACATCCCGAATGATGCTTTTTTCACTTTCACCTCTGCAGGAGTATAACTCAGTAATTGTTATAATCATAATGTTCTTTAGGTTTTCATGTGAAGAGTGTAAACAACAAATATCATCTTAATCATGCTATCCTGGGGAAAGTATTTGTTCAAAGCCTTTTGTTTACTACCCCACATTAACCCACAGCCACTAAGAAGCAGATGTAACTATCCCCATTTTACAGATAAAGACACCAATTTCAGAGTTGCCTTGTTTTTCCTAAGCCCCACCTTTAAAAAATGGTGAAGTTGGCATCTGAAGCTTTTCTAACTCCTAAAGCACTCACTCCCCTGGTCATTAAAGTCTAGGAACACCAGGAGAAATAGGCTGCAACACTTGTCTTTGTGCTCTGAATTTTGTTAAAAATGTACTAAGTAAAATCACATTGCAGTGGATGTTTAACATGGCAAAAAAAAAAAAAAATCAGGACTATTGTGATAGGAGAGAGACTGAACTGAACTTCATACAACTGGGTAAATGGGACTTCAGCCATTAAGCAGGACTAGGGGGCAGATGGAAAATTACCCAGAGGAACTTGGTTGGGTGTTGAGGTAGGAGAAGAGCTGATTAAAGGGGGGGGGGGGGCTATAAGTGACTATAAATAAAGAGTGTGTGGGTTTCAATAAATCTGTTCAGCAGGTTTTTTGCTAAACTTGAGATTCCCTTCCAAAGGCATAAACTAGAGGACAGAGGTTCAAAGGACCCTGGTCTTGTCCTATGACTTAAACGTGTAATAAAGGCACAGACCTGGACGGTCAGCTTGACGAATTTCTCCATCTGTGCACTATCAGGAGCCACCTTCAGTCCAAGATACAAACATTTCTATATCTTCCAGGTCCTTCTCACTCCCTTCCCAGTCACTTTCTCCTTCAGGGTAAATACTAGTGTGACCTTTATCACCGTCAATTAATTTTGCCTGTTTTTGAACTTCATGTATTTGCTCTCATCAGTTTGTTCCCTACATGCTGCTATATTCTTGTGTCCGGATTAGTAAATTGTGTTTTACAAGAAGCTTGTCTGTTTTAAGCTATACTTTCTGGAACAAATTTTATCTTAACTTTTTTTTTTTTTCTTTTTTTGTCTATCAGTCTGGTTCTAGGGAGTGTACCCGTTCTAGTGACATTTTGACTACTGAATGACTTCCTCTTTTTCCAACATTTCTCCCTGCTCTTAAGCATTAATCTCTTATTGCAGTTCATCCAGAGTAAAATATGGCACCAACTGAGTCTCAAATGGGGACATGCCATCATGCTGTGGAAGCTGTGGTGGGTTTTACACAGATCCTCATAGACATGGGTCTGGAAGGGTGGGAATAGCATAGCTTTAGGGAAAAAAAAATAATCTTTTAACTTGGCAACTTCACAAGCAAGATCCCACTTTAGTTCTGTTTAAAGTTTAGACAAGTGCCTATACACAGGATTCCCTCCCCAGAGAGAAGAGCCCACCCCCAGCACACTCATTTTGTGGGACTCCCCTCACAGCAGCTCCACTGGTCCGAAGACCCCCTTTCTGATTGCCATATTTCACCTCCCAAAAGTCCCCACTGTCCTGGCTTGAGGCAGCTGCCCGGGGCATCCATGCCATCTTCTGAGGTAATTGGATTGTTTGGGATGGCTCTGGCTAGGAGTCATAAAGCTCCCCACCCAGTCCTGTGCGCCAGATCTGTGCTGCCATCAGCACTGTTACTTGCTGCATGTGATGTCATCCAACACAAGTGTTTTCAGTAATGCACATGTCATATTGTAGTGGAAACATCTTCAAGCACCTTGAAAGAGCCAGAGTCCAAGACTTCTTTGAGTTTGGAAACCAGAGAGGCCACACCGCCAGGGATCTCACTGTGGAAGAAGTGGCAAATGACTAAAGGTTTCAGGGAGCTGGCAAAATTGATAAGCAATGAAACTGCAACAGGGAAGGAGGAACGAGAACTGAAAGAAAAAGGTAGGGAGTATTGATGTCATTATCACTGTCATAAACAAATGTGTGTGTTTTTTTTTTAAAGATTTATTTTTTTCATACAGAACTGGGGTACAGGCCGGAGATGCGGAGGGTGAGAGGATTCACCAGGGACAGAGTGGGGAACAGAACAGGCAGATCGACGAAGTACACTGCTGAGGGGAGCAGCGGGCGGGTCAGGAGAGGTCTGCCGCCATGTGGGTCACCTCCGGGGCAGGCGGGGATCGAACTCATGCGGAAGTGGCTTACGTTTCTCACTGCTGTGCTTTAACCCACTGCGCCAGGGAGGGCCTAAACAAATGTGTTTTTTAAAGATTATTTATGCATACAAGAGCTGGGATATACACCAGAGGTGTGGGGAGAGGGGATTCACCAGGACAGAGTGGGGGCAGAACAGGCGGATTGACTGAAACACACTGCTGAGGGAGCATCAAGGAGACAAGAGAGGTCTGCTTTGCCATGTGGGTCAGCTCCCTGCCCAGGGATCGAACTGGTGCGAGCTGCAGTAGCTGCAGATAGCTTCATAATGCTGAGGCTTAACCACTTGCACCATCATAGACATATATTTTGCAGTAGAAATTCTGGCAAAGATAGTAACTTAGACATATGATGACTAGGCTTATCACATAGGAAACATGCATTTTGGATTCATAGCTCTCCATTTCACTTACTGGTGCTGATAATCTACTCCAGGACCTCATTATTAGATACTTAACCCAAATATAAAAGTGGACAGAACTTAAAATATAAAGTGTAGGTATATTTCTGTACAGTTTTTTTTTGTGTTTGTGTCTACAAATACTGAAGGTAAAATCACAGTGCCTTTTGGGATATCATTTAGTAAACTGTAGTCTCGTCTGTTTTCCCAGCTGAACAGTGGTGGGAGACACAAAGTAGATGAGAAAAAGAAACTGATGAGGTAGCTGGGGGTCTCATGACCAACAGGGAACCATGGAGAATCCTGGGGGACGTGGAAACAGGGCAAACAGAACCAGGCTGGACACCTGTGGGAGCCAACCAAAACCTGATGACCCAACAGATAATTGGTAGAGACTGATGCCCCGACTTAATGAAAAAGCCCACAAAATAGGTTGAGAGCCCCAAAATCTTTTTTCCCACAGATGAGTATCTCCCATTGCCAGCTGTTCCCTTAGTGGATATTTCAATAAATCTGCCTTTTCTGTTTTCCTCTCTGTCTCTAGTGAATTATTTCACCCCAGTGTCTCCAGTCTTACCCCAACATTGGGCCATCACAATGATTACATATAAAATTGCCACTAAACACAAATTTTTGTTTTAATGTAGTATGCTACATATTAGATTTTCTTTTAACTTATATGACAAGTTTTAATCATTTGGCATAAAAAAATGTTGAAATGTTCAGTGGTGTGCAAACCACACCCTAAATTGGATTATTTCTGTATGAAATTATTCTGCATGAAGTAGATATGCATTTATTCACTAAGCTGAATCTAACTCCTTCATGGAAGTTTTTATAGTGTTTTATAGAATGTCTTTCCACAATCCTAGTCACTATGAGGAAGGGTTTCCCCCTAAGCAACCACTTGTCTAACTATTGCTAAGGATGCCAAGTATCTTACTTATTGATACAGTTAGAAGAATGCACTGGACTCCCATGGGAAGCCTAAGTCCACTACTCAGTCTTAGGTTGGAGGTGCTAGATAAGACCGAGGGTCTGGAGGCTCTAGCCTGCTCTAGGACCCTGAGATAATGGCGTTCGGCCTGAAACATCACACTGCATGTCCCAGTCGCATCCCTACTGGCCCAGAACACAAGCCAGTAAGGGACTCTTAGGGAAGGAGACCTCTCCACGCTCACCAGCAATGATTCTCTTCTCCAAATTGCTAGAACTGTCTAAGGCTTTTAAAACTGGAAACTGTTTATGGCTGATGCCTATCCTTGAGTGATTTGCATAGTATCCACTGTGTGTATGTGCCACACCTCCCTGAGGCTCTCGTCTGTATCTGAAGATTTAGGTTCTTGCCACGGCTTGGTGAATGTAAGTAGCATGAGGTAATGAACACAGAACTACACTTTCATTTTGAGTTAGTGTTTTCAGGGTAGATACTAAAGTGTGGAATTGCTTTATTCTACAACTTTAATGCTGTCAAGTTTTAGAAGTCTCCCATTAGTTTAAAAAAAAAAGGTAATTCTTCCCATGGGAATTTATGAGAGAATTTATGATGTCATTTAAAAAGATAATGTCTTAGCAAGATAATTTTTTAAAGTACACTATTATAAGGTATGTACTTAAATAATACCCCAAATCGAAGTCATCCATAAAGTAATATTCATAAGTTGATTAATTTCCAAATAGCTTGCTAATCATAAGAACTGGTCTAGATAGCTCAACTCTTTATCCCAATAACATCAAAGACATAAATAAATAAATATTTTTTAAAAAGTCAAACATAATTTTACCAAAGCACCTATCAGTTTACTCCTACTCATGTGAAATATGCAGCTAAGACAAAACTTTAGAGCTATAAAATAGATTATTGTTTGCCTGAAAGTTGTCCTGAGAATGAAGAATGGCTTTGAAATAACAAAAGAGATTTTAATTGGATGATGGGAATGTTTTGAAATTAGATTTTTTGTCTTAGTTGTACAACTCTGTAAATATGCTAAAATATTAAAAATAAATCTTTTAAATGAATGAGTGTTTTGGCATGTAAACTATACTTCAATAATTAAACAAGAAGAAATGATCTGAACAGGATTAATAGTTAATGTTTTCGATTCAGTCTGTCTCAAATCTCTTGTCAGGTTCTTTATAGGTCTATAGTAAAAGTTCCAAACTGATTTGCTTTTCAGTGGTTACTTATATATTTTTTACTTCATTGTGTTAAATGTTTTGTGAAGGACTGATTCTGTATCTTAAAACACTTTTATGTTCTACTCCAGAAACCACATTAAAACATATTAAGTAAGCCAAGTCCAATCATTGATTTTGTTAACAGAAAATATTTTCAATTAAAATGAGCTCAAATATCATTTAGTTAATCATTATTGATTCTTTTTTAAATGTCTAGTACTTTTTTTTTTTTTAACAACAGGGCCTCTTTCACGATCCCCAGGGGTTTTCACAGTATCTCCACAACTTATCCGAAAAGAGCTAGAAAACATAGACATAACTCAATACCTACGGTAAGTTTAAATAAATATGATTAATGTAGAGTTTACATTGCCAATGGAAGCACATGATTTTCCACCTCAGATTTGGCAATTCTTAAGGCAATCATAAAAGCTATTAAGTATTTTCCATAAAGATTTAATTTGTAGTCTGACTAAGGAGAACTTAACTATAGAAAATAACCTGTATACCTGCTGCTACTATTTAAATTTGATTCAATTTTCTTAAGAAGTAAACAGGAGATATGAAAGATTTTTATTGGGGTATATTTAAAAGCTCTAAAATATATTCAAAATTATCAGGCTACAAAAAATAAAATGGAAATACCACAATTGTGAATAGCAATTCTACAAATGACCTTACTCAATAGCACATCTAAATTTACTGATTTTTTGAAAATAATTTTGAAAACTTTCAACAACACAATAAAGGATAGTCATTTGAAAGTAGTGCTTTATTTTCTATCCCCAACATTTGATTTCATTCACACCCCCACACCATTGATATGATTTTTAATGGAGGTCTAAGCTTCTTCTGGAGTTCCCAAATGATGTGTAGAACTTTTTTGATGTTTTCATCTCAAGGAAAACAGAAACTGAGCCTCAACTGCAGACAGAGGAACTCAGTCAGCAGCAGGCAATGCAAAAGGCAGAGGAGATCCATCAGTTCCGGGAGTACAGGAACAGAATACTCAGTATCCGGGACTGGGACCAAGAGCAGAGGTCTAAGTTAAAGGATGAAATCATAGCGATGTATGGAGAAATGCGGGTGAGTCTAAAAGGGCATAGATGGCACAGCTGACAGAATACTAAATTTTTTTAAAGGTATAGAATCATATGGCATATGCAGATAAAATGGTCTTGAAAAATTTTACTGCACAACCTCTCAGAAAAGATGGCAAATTGCATATACACAGCTCATTTCACCCCCTTCCTAAAACCCCTCTAAAATGCATTACTGGGCACTATCCACAAAGATGTGAGGCATGAGAGAGAGAGCACAATGAAATATCTGTGAAGTCGGAAAACAGCTTGATGAAGGGCATTCAGATTTAAGACAGCCAAATGCTAAACGGGCAGTAGAAAAAAACTTCAGATCCACCCAGTGCGCTCCACTGAATCCCCCAATCGCTCAGAAGTTGGAGGCAGCAGTAGTAATAGGGTGTGAAAATGAGGTGCTAGGGAGAAATGCACGATTATCCCATCATTCGGTTTAAAGCCGCGTCAGCAGAGTTAGAAGTGCTGTGCTCCACCTCAACTTTTTATCACGCCTCCACCAGAGCAGAGGACAGAAGGGCTTTATCTAGATGTTTCTGCAGCATTAAGGTAAGGCTTAACTGAAAATTGCTGTACTAGAAACGGAAAGATTCAGTAAATATACGTGGATGATTTCCACCACCTGAATCAAGATCCCCCCCCCCCCTTCTTTTCTGCAACACACATGAGTGGAAAAGATAAAGAAAAGTGTAAAGAAGAGAGAGATCTGCGCAGAGGCCACAGTCATACATTCCAAAAGGACAGTTGATAGAGGGTTGAGCACCCTATGCACAGCCGTCCCCAAATCCTACGGCCTCTTGACTCATAGCTGTGCTCATCCTCGGTTTTATGCCACCAGTGTGTGAGTCCTTCCCCTGAGAGCTCCGCTTTCCCAGCTCGATTTAGTCCCATGCTGTTTGGTTCATCATAACCCCCAAATGTTCAAAATTTCTGACAACAGAATCGCTTAAGGAGGCAGTTCCCAGAAAGTATCCGCATCTCTGAATCACACAGGACTACTTTGCCCTGAGCATGGGAGAAGTAATGGCGTTGCCCCACTCCGTGGTGGGAGGCAGAGGTGGGGATGAGCGCCAGACACTGTGTCTGGAAGTTGGGACAGCAGGATTACCTCTTCAGTTCTTGGTGGATATTATAAGAGGAGTCAGGAAATAGTTACCTATGTCCCTACACCATTGAGTTGTTTTGAGTCACTCTCAAATCTGATGGTCTGTAAGCAGAGAGGAAGATATCAGTTTTGAACATTGTTAGATATAACAGTTATATACGCCTAAAGAGATGAAGGAGAAACCATCAAAGTGGCAGCTAAGTGAGATTCAAATCCAAGAGGTGTGGTGTCCAGGAAGCCAGGTGAAGTCAGTTGATCCAGGAGGAGCAGTGAGGATGAAAACAAACAGACAATACAGCAATAACCCAGGGATGAGGTGGTATTATTTGAAAGGTTTTCAAGCACAGCTCAGACGTGTTTTTCAACGCTAGAGCATGTGCAGGAACTAGTCATTTGTTGCACATGGTTAGTAGGTGAGAGACTTTGAGTCTCATGTTCCTTACAGATTATATTTGAACTCGTTTAAAGCTGATAGTTGCTTTCTCTAAAACTTCTACCTCTTTCATCCTTCACCTTCCTCTAATTTTCTCCAATACTTTTATTCGTCATTCTGTTAAAGTGTAACATTGTTTTGTTGGCTTAGAAGAAGGGGGCAGGGTGGTGGTGATGGTGGGTGGGTTCACTAGAGACAGAGCGGGGAGCAGAACAGGCGGATGAACTGAAATCCGCTGCTGAGGGCAGCAGCAGGCGAGACAGGAGAGGTCTGCTGTGTCATGTGGGTCAGCTCCCTGGCCTAGGTGAATCGTAGGCTGTAGCTGAGACTTAACCCTTTGGCTACTAGGGAGCCCCCCGACCCCCAATAACGGTTTTGTTTCTAGCTCATGTTTTCTATATTGATAGACATTTGAGAGCATGGCCTAATTTTGATCGCTCTTCAATCACGTTCCATATGAATCTGTTGGCATAAGGAAAAGATGAAATCATTACTTTTTGCTCTTTGATTTGTTTTCTGGGGCCGTAACCCTTTGCCAGTGGAACTTACTTGCTTGGGGTTGTGTGCGGAATAGGATTCTTTGGACGACTCGCGGCAGAAGATCTTCACTGTGCGGGAAGAGTACAGAAGCAAGTTGTTGGAAGCTGAGCGGCTGAGGTTGGAAGCGCTGGCCGCAGAGGAAGCCGCAAAGCGGGCGGAGCCAGAGAAGAAGTCGCAGGATGCACAGAAAAAGAAGAAAGCAAAGAAAAAGTAAGCAGGACACCCGGCTACTGCTCTGCCGATTCTAAAGAGAAATGTATTCCTTATCCCATCTATTCTTTATCCCTTATCTAGTCCTATCCCTTATCCAAATTTATTCCTTATGCCATGTGTAATGATCTGTGGCTTTGCCTGAGGTAGGTATGTATTGAGAATAAATGTTCTGATCTTAGGAATAGTTTCTGTATTTTAATGGTCATTTGTTTTAGCTTTTCTCAGAAGGCTATTACTTGAAGTCACTGGAGTTTAAAATTTTCTAGTTTCAACAAAAATTCCTCCAAAATATTTAGAGTGTAAGAAAATGTATGTTTCTCACTCTGAATTGCATCCTTTTCAGTTATGACTGAAACAATCCAAACTGATTGCTTTGGGAAAAACTCAGCATTGAGAAAATAAGCTATTATTCTTAGAGGAATTTTTGTCTCTATAGTGTTTAATGTATTAAAAAAATATATGCTTCAGATTTTTTTTTTTTTTTTGGTATTGTTTTGTTTTAAGCTGAACTTCCTAAACTTCCACCTTAGGCAAGGACTATTGTGGATTAAGCCTACCCAAGGCGCTAATCTGGTCAGGCAGGCAGGGAGGACAAGTCATAAGCACCTCCCTCCTCAGATATCTCAAAGTTGTCCTTTTTGCAAGACTGAAAAACCTATAAGGGAGTGTTAGAAAAATGTAAGGAATGGGTTTGCTGAGACATTTTCCCCAAAGCATATTTCTAATTGATGACTTTCTCAGATGAACAGACCAAGAGTAAATTTACCAGTCAAAGCTATTTCCTTTTAGTCGGCAATCTTACTATTTTTCATTTATTTAACTCTTTTTTATTAAACCTTTAATTCTCATAAGTCTAGAGACATGAAATTTTACTTAGTTATGTGAACATATGCATTTATTTTCCTTCTTTTACTGTTTGCCTGTAACTTTCATGACCTTATGATCCCCTGGCCCACAAAATAACACATGGCAAGTTCCTAGTATGCATATTTCCATATTTTCATTTCATATAAATATGATATCATGACTTGTTTTTAAAAAATATGTACTACATATAGTTCCCTGCACCCTGATTTTTCTCACCAGACAATATAAATTCTTTGAGTTAGTAATTTTATTTAGTTGCTGTATACTAAGAGGTACAAATGCTCTGTAATTTATTTAGCCATACACCACAAATATATGCAATTTCTATTATATCTCAGTAAAGTTGGTAAAATAAAGATCTATTATTATACAAAAATTTGTGTTTATAAAGTAGACGTATGAAAACAATCCAAAGGACAGGAGAGGGAAGATGGAAGTTCATGAATGGAATGCTTCAAATAATACATAAGATGCTAGAGTCTTATGTGAACAAAAACTTTGACACATTTCTTTTTAAAGATTTATTTACTTATGCATACAGAACTGGGGTATAAGTCAGAGGTGCAAAGGTGGTAAGAGGATTCACCAGAGACAGAGTGGGGAGCTGAACAGGCAGACTGATGAAGTGCACTGCTGAGGGGAGCAGTGAGCAGGTCAGGAGAGGTCTGCGGCACCATGTGAGTCACTTCTGGAGCGGGGATCAAACTCATGCTGAAGTGGCTTTAGCTTCTTAGTGCTGTGTTTTAACTGGCTGCGCCACCAGGGAGGGCCCCAACTTTGACAAATTTTAAAAAGTATAACATTGTTAAACTTAACATTTAGTAAAAAATAAAAAAAGATAAGCCACTAGTAAAATGAAATAATAAAACAAATTCAATAAATTGAAAAGCAGATTAGAAAAGAGGAGGAAAAAAAAATTGGTAAGAATAGAGGTAGCAAGACCATAGACTTAATAAAGCATTTCTAATAATATACATATCGCCAAGCATTTAAAATAAAGGAAAAATAAAATCAAAATATTTTGTGATAAAATACTGTGTATAAGTAAATGCCTCGAGTGACTATACTAAAGATAACCTGATGTCTGTACCTATACTTGGAGTAGCTCAGTGGAAATATTTGCTAGTTGTCAGCGGGAACACTGGAAGAGGGAGAGGTATTTTCTGGAGAGAGTACACTGTGCACAAGAATGTGTGAGTGGAACACGAGCATGTATTAGTTATAGTAACTATATTTAATGCATGAAAATGTTGAGTTGGTTGGACCGCTTGTCTATTTTTTTTTAAAGATTTATTTATTCATATAAACTGGGGTGCAGGCCAGAGATGCGGAGGGTGAGAAGATTCACCAGAGACAGAGTGGGGAGCAGAACAGGCAGAGGGACGAAGTACACTGCTGAGGGGAGCAGTGGGTAGGTCAGGAGAGGTCTGCCTCGCCATGTGGATCTCCTCCGGGGCAGGCGGGAATCGAACTCATGCAGAAGTGGCTTAAGCTTCTTTGTGCTGTGCTTTAACCCGCTGCGCCACCAGGGAGGGCCCACCTCTTGTCTATTTTTAATTAAAATAATCTTTGTAAAAATCAGCAAAATTATATATTTGGAATGTGGTTGCTACAGTGACACATTTTTCAAAATGGTGAGTAAATGCCATCAGTAAATTTTCAAAAACAACATTGGTCTACTCTGTTTTATACAATGGTTGCATTCCTGAAATACTTAGTGGACTTCAAAACTAGATAAAAAATACTTTAGTTTTCTATATTTTCCAGAGTTAGAGTCTTGCTTATAGACTATATGAACGATGGACATTCACATCATCCAGGAGGTAAGAAAATTCTTTGTTGTATGTGACTTAGACATTTTAGGAGATATAAAATAATTGGTATTCAACACTGAATAGCACTAGTTCTTCCCTCATTATTGGGACTGCTCCCACATATTTCTCAAATATTTCCTTGTCGTGGCATTATCCTTACTGAGATCCCTATTTCCATTTCCATATAAAAGAACAAAAAAGATTGTGAAAAGCTGAAGATAGGAACACCTGTGGGTTATAGTTAATAAATGGATTCATCAGAATATAGAATTCTATCAACAACCTCCACTGTGTTAACCAAAGTATAGTCATAAAGCATGTCACAGTTCTACCTTTGACAAACAGTATAGTCTGTCATTTAGTTTTTCTCCTTAGAGTCCTATCACCCCCTGTTTATAACTCCCATGTAATTCCAAAGTTGACCTCTTCTTTTCTCTGGGGATGTCATAATGTTAAGGGGAAGGAAGCCCTAAAGGAACTCTGCAGAGTCTTGTGGACTCCACCTCTTACTTACTCCAGCTTTCTGGACTCTACCCACTACTCCAGTGATTGGAAACTACAACTCCCAGCAGGACCAGGGAGAGAACTGTGAGGACCCAAGGACCGAAGGAATTCTGGGACATTGGGGGATAAATAGGGCACTATTGCATCTCTCACTCTCTCGCTCAGGAAATGGCTCTCTGGACAGCGTGACTCGGGGCTTTCAGTTAGTTTGTTACCAGAGCTCCAAGTCAGCACAGCCAGTAAGATATTCCAGTTGTTTCCTTTTCTTTTCCCCTTTTGTAAATAAACTCATTATTGACCCTTTTGTGTGTGCCTGCAGCACAACTGAATTTTAAGCACGCGGGTGAGGCCCCACAGACAGGCAGCCCAGTTCACACTGGGTGCAGTGTAACAGTAAGAGCAGAGAAAATGTTTCTTTTTCTGTAGTCACAGGCCTCTCTTCATGTCAGTGGTATCCCCTGGATGCAACTCTGCTGATAATAAAATATTATTATTAGAGCTTTTAAATTCCTCATTGCCTTCAGCACCTCCTCTGTGCAATAGAATTGTGGCATTCCCAAAATCAAAATAGCCAGTGAAGGCTTTTTTTTTTTTTTTTAAGATTTATTTATTTGTGCATACAGAACTGGGGTACAGGCCAGAGGCTCAGGGGCAGCGGCGAGAGGCTTCACCAGAGACAGAGTGGGGAGCAGAACAGGCAGATCGACGAAGTACACTGCTGAGGGGAGCAGCGGGCGGGTCAGGAGAGGTCTGCCGCGCCATGTGGTCACCTCTGGGGCAGGCGGGGATCGAACTCATGCGAAAGTGGCTTTAGCTTCTTAGTGCAGTGCTTTTAACCTACTGCGCCACCAGGGAGGACCAAAAAGGCTTTTTTTTTTAAGGGAAAAATAGGCTATCTTCAGTAAACTTTTGCCTCATTTCTCAACATCAAGTTTTTAAACAAGTTCCTTTATTTATAGACTATTTGCACACACACGTTGCATAATAGTCTACTCTGATGTATGCTTTTTGTCCCTGTCTCATTTAAAAGAAGCCCTTACATTTTCTACTTCTTAGAAATATGGATAATGAGGCCAGACAAACGAGCAGTAAGGAAATTTGCATCAGAGAAGAAACCATGGGCCTCACCATCCCTGCCTTGTCCCCAGGCTTAACCCTCGTCAAATCCCAGGTGAGATTATTTCTCATCGATTCATGATTGTTTTCAAATCTTCACGGGATAGCTCCCAAATTTAACATTTGAGGGAAGAAGCTTTGCTTCTAATGTTATTATATGTTACTGTCTAGCAGTTATAAACAGATTTTATTTGTCGTAATGTAGATAAAATAGTTTCCAATGACAGGTGTGTTTTCAGGGAATAGCTTTATACATGTTGAAGATTTTGTAGGTTCCTGGAACCTACAACTAAACATCCTTGCTTTTCATTTCTGGAGGGACATAGGTGGTGTTAGCACCGCTCTGGAAGATTTATTTGGGAAGAGAAACTATAGAACAAACTGCTCTAGTATAGTAATGTAACAATATAATACATAAATATTTTAATATATATTTAACTTTGACTTTAAAACAACTGTATTAAAGTAAACTTTCAATTCATTTGGTTAATTGTAGTCACTTAGCTAATCTTTACATTCCTTTACCATCTGGTAGATAATATAATAACACTCTATTTTCAAATAAACATTTTGTTTATCAAACTGTTGATCTCAGCATCAGCAAATCCCTGTAGGTAGATTGTATATTTAGACAGATATAAAGAAAACTCATTAAAAAATGATGTTTGCCTGTGTAAAAATGATTCCCAGTAAATAGATT